GTCCAATTATTTCTTAATTGGACAGCATGGAGTCCTATTACATATAAAAATTGCAATGTTTATACAAAAAAGCCGATGCAGACAAAAAAGTGTGATTTTGAGTCAAATATATTTTAATACAAAAGTAATTAATAGTAATGATAAAAAAGTATAATGAAATAGCATTAAGTCAATTGTTTTCCCCCGAAGTAGTCAGATTTTTTTAGGACAGTATTTTGGAAGTATTTTTGCAAAGTTAGAAAGTCCAACTTAAAGAACATACAAATCAACAATAATCTTTTATTGTACAGTTATATCCACTTTATTGAGTTATTCACATCCAGTAGTTTGTGCTCAATAAAAATGTTCGAGTGAGCGCACAGGACGGGCACTCGCACAAAATCAATAGTAGCGCATTGCTCTTTGTGAACCGTTTACTAACTTGCATAAAATAGTACAAAGAAGTTAGTACAAGTGAGTTCACTCTCACATTTTTAATCCACTACTTAATAAAAATCTTATATGTTGCAACTCTATGCTGTTGTTCAAGCCATATGTAAATTGTCAGGTAACATTAAAGTAATTATCAAATTACCGTATAAAAAATCCTACAACTGAATACAATTTTGATTAATATTTCGACTGACCTGGATTCTATGACGCAAATAAGCTGTTGTGAAAATTTTCAAATTGATTTTGTTACGCTGCAACTCTAATTTTTTTAAATTTAATTCATTTCTTTTTTTTCTTTTTTCATTTTTGCTGAGGAATTCGTTGATTTTCATCTATCATTGTTTATACCATGCACTGTTTATACCATGCCTATATAGTGAAAGCTAAGTATTAGTCAGCATTGCAGCGCTACCAGAATGGTCATTCATAGATTCTGTTAAAACGTGAAGTTATGAACAATATTCTATAAACACACCACGGTATGTGAGATACATGACAAGGAGTATGTTCCACAGAAACTCAAAAGGGGATTGAAACGTGTAGCAACAGTACATTTCTTTGGTTCAATGCTCCGGAATATTCAAAACGCCAATAAATCAACTGAAGTCATTTTACAACCATATTTGGAACAATGATATACCTCATTCCATGTCCTTTGGATGGTAATCAGTTGATTTTGTACGATTTTCAGCTCTTTTGAGCATTTTAGCTACATTCTAGAACCATTTAAAATGAGACAACTTTTTGCCGCCGTCTGTCCGCCATTTTGTTTTCATCTCAAACTCAAATGTTTGGCCCAAATATGGTATCAAAATTATGCTAATCATTTTGAATATTCCGGAGCATCTGACCGTGCTACACGTTTCAATCCCCTTATGAGTTTCTGATATCCATTGACCAACCAAAACCACTAAAAACCAAGAAATCAAACATCTTCTGGGCGTGATTAGTGAATGTTCCGTGGACAAAATCGTGGCTGTTCTCTGACGTAATCAGAAAAGATCGAAACCAATGCCATCCAGAAACAGGTATGATAAAGGTGTAGGGCAAAGGGCAAACAAGCAGAGTGGGGGAAACGACGATGGTCCAATAACGATGAAGTAATTTGGTATCGACAAAAGTCAACTGTAGCATAAAAAGAGTTCATTTGTTGGTCCAAGTCTGTGACAAAATTTGCGCATTGATGCATTTGTCTTTTGCGTGTTTTCATATTGAAAGAGTGCAGCTTTGCTTGTACACAAACAATTGTTTACCTTTCATTTTCCTGATAGTTTATATATCAAGTTAATGTGCTGTAGATGCGTGAAGTCAATCTAACCACTGCTTGAGAAGGGAATAATAGACCACATCTACTGATTGGACCTATCAAAAATACCCTTCAAGCATCCACAAACTACAGATCTTGTGAGAGACCCTATACTCCATCCAAGCCCAACAAGAAATATAGTTACTATAATAATGGTCCATATCCACTGACCAACAAAACCATTAAAGATCAAGAAATCAAACATGTTATGGGCGTGACTAGAAGTCCTGAATGTTCCATGAATAAATTTGTGGCTATTTTCCATGTAATCAGAAAAAGATTTAAACCCGTTCCATCCGGAGATCGGCAGGATCACAAAGGCATACAGTAAACACAAAATCAGGTACGAGAAAGAGACGAGGAAGATTACTACCACCATATATAATAGAGGGACATATCTCCCTCTATTAAGTTCTATGCTGCTGCCACATAAGACCGCATGCACTTTTTTAGCGACTTTTTGAGCATATCCAACGGTGAACTGCAACATTATGTTCACAAAGAACCATACCTGAAAGAGGAGTTCAAGAACTTGTTTGTCCCAGTCGATTGTACCCTGGGCCTTCATCATGTGTAATATACAACTCATTATTGGCAACTCGAAAAAAATAGAAAAAAACATCGAGACTGCTACTGATAATTTCTTGGGGCCTTTAACCGCCAGAAATGCCCAAATCGCTACATCTGAAGCGATTTCGAGTGCGAAAAGGATGATATAAGCGTTTGCTGCATCTCTATAAGTCTCTTGATCATCGAAATGAACTGATGGAGATGACGCATTTCTCAGTGCTATGCCTTCAATTTCATGTAAGTTTGGGATAATATCTCTAGCAAGAAGGATGATTGCAAGCACGATCTCGATGATTTGAGCGATAATTTTCAACGTCCAAGAAAAACGTTCAAAGTTCTTATTGCCAGTTGGGACGGACGTTATGGTACTTATTGTGTGAGCAATACCATTAAACCAGTTGGTGAATGAATTTAGAATCTCAGGCATTTTTATAGAACTTGAACTTCGGTGACCAAAAGCTTGTCTTGTACGTTATGCTGCAAAACTGACCAGCAAAAAGATCAATGTAGCTGATGCTCTTGGGATTGTTGTAACGATTTATATTGATGTAATCTATATAGCTGTTTTCGTGTTAAACAACAGATTGTAGTACAACGATTACACACAAGAATTAGATGACTGTCGCACTGTGCTGAATAGTTCTGGGAACTTGGGAAATTTACCGTGGCTATCCAAGCAGATATTCGGACAAACTAACCAATCAAAAAGCAAACATTTGCTTTGAATGACAGTCGCATATCACAAAGGCGGGCGCAAAAACTGATGAACCGAAATCAACAAGTTTCAACATGTTTATGAAATTTCTAGAAGAATTTTAAACTGCATATCACAGCTATTTTGTTATATTTAGTACTACGACGTTTCTGAAAAATACTGGCAAGAATTTTGGGAACTATGAATTCAGAAGAATAGCATAGAAAACTCCTCAGTTTTCAAACTCCTTGATACCGAAGCTCTCAATATAAATTTGTTATATTCTTTCAATTATATGTTGTCATGGTTTCGGTAAAATGCCCTGTAAACACTTCTTGATGTGCCTTGTTATGACTAACCATGCATTGATGCTTCGTTCACCATTTATAATTCACAAACAATTTTGTTCTTCTCGGTGGCTTTTGATTTTATTGTTTACAATGATCAAGTCTCTATGATGAAATGCAAACTCGAACTTTATCCTCGATCACGAAGATTCATGAAATTTTGAAATATTTTGAAAGACAAAACTAGGATAAGATTTTGAATATTTATAAATCATTTTGATGCGGAAGTATTATAGTAATCGTATATGTGCGATATTTGGTAAGATTCGTAATTGTATGGAGTGAATATGCTGGTAGACATCCGTTCGATGACGAGAAACCAAGACATACATAGACAGATTTAGACCGCCATTGGGTTCCCTGTGGTGATTTTTTGAGCACTTTCTCGCCTAACTTTCGCCATGTTCTGAAGCTCGAATTTTTGTGAATTTTCAGTATGTTAGTAACCTTATAAGTATCTTTGATTTGGCCACAATGAAAAAACGTTTACAATTTGTTTGACTCAGGCCCCCAAAATTTCACTAGATGACTGGACTATTTATGATTAGAAGAAAGAATCATTGGGTAAGAGTACTGAGGATTCCTTGGGTGGAGGATTTGATGCCAGCCATCATCGGTAAACTCACGGGGCTATACAAATGGGAGAGGGTACTCGGACTGAAAGAAATCAACACTCTTTCGACAAAGTGYAGCATGGAAGTATCAGGTGCAGTGATTGAATGGAGTGACGTCATTTCCGGCAGCAAGCACTGTGGAGTGGTTTGATTCGCAATTCCTGCAAGAATTCAGCCATTAATTGACTGTGGATGTGAATGATGATAATGATGACATCATAGATGATGACTATGGTTAAAGACATGACGTCAACAATGACGATGTCATTTAAATATATGTAAATTAGATCCACAGGGTACCCAATATGTGGATAAATCAAATAATTTTTTGAAGAGAAAGGGTCAGATGCTAACTTTTCAGTACATTTTTCTGTCTTTTTAAAATGGGAACCTCGAAAAGGTAAGATTAAAAATCTAGATCAAATTTTTGCACAAAATGCCCAAATATGGGTACTGTAATAATGTATTGATTAGAATGTGGCCAGGTTACAACAGCTAGGGCGTGAAATCGACAAGATTCCAACATTTCATGCGATCAAGAGGTATTTGACGCTCCAAAAGTGCTAAGGTAAAATTCTATTTGAATTTATTTGATTTACTATTTTGCTTTTCATCCTATTTAAGGTTTACGAGCGAAAATTAAGCCAATTTTAAATGATTTTGCTCTTTTTAATCGAATTTTCTTCGCGGGAAATTTAAACAGACTTCAAGAAGTGTCTCGTGGTAAACGTTAAGCTAATATCACTTTATATTAAAAGAATTCCTTATGAAGAATGCATTATAAGCAACGCTCTTTTAGGTAACGAGAAATTAAAGTTTATATATTGGCAAAGGCAAAAATACATGTGTTATTATTAACAGCCCCCCTGTATTTTCCAGAGGGGTTTACTCACATTTTCATTTTTTATATTTTGTTATTTTTATGTTTTTTTATAAGTTGCATTTTGTTATAAGTTTTCCAACAGTGTTGGACCAGAAAACTAAGGTAAGCATGTTAAGCACATGATCAACATTATGAAATCCTACAGAGTGTACATGTATGTTATTAGAAGCTAAACAGCAATTAATGAGACTGATCCATCTGCATAATGAACTTCAGATTTGACAACGAGTACGAGATTGAGTACGAGTACGAGTTTTAAAATTGGCCTTCATTGTGATATTAATCATGGATTGCATTCCTGTGAATAGTTTAAAACATCAAAGAAATAAAAACATGAGGTGGATTGAAATCCTGTATGGACAACACAATAAAAGCTTGTTTGAAAACTCGTACTCAATCTTGTACTCGTTGTCAAATCTGAAGTTCCTTAATGTTGGTGATCAGGGGCACAGCAAAAACCAAAGAAAAATGTTTGATTTATTTTTCTCATGCATTTTTTTTTAAATTAACAAAGTTTCTTCGATTTCTGGGACCTGAAAAACCCTCTTACCCATTACTATGCCACTTTTGGCAATATAAAACTAATTATCATTAGGATCCCATTGTTGTAGAAATTCTCTTGATAGTGATCATAACAGAGGTTATATTGATTATTGCAGTATTACATTCTGAAATAGCTGACACTCCTTGCTTCTTACACATTTTTTTCTACTGTTATTAGATCTTTTGCATTTTGATTCCTTTTTATCTGCTTGCAGCAATTTAGTGATACCACACCAAACAAACAGTGGTTGACTGCCCTTACTGTAAGTAAACAAGTATTGGTTTCATAAAGCTAGCTACACCCTTAGAATTTATCAAAGTCTTTTAAAATCCCACTACCATGTATTTTAAAAGAACTATTTCAAAGCATTGACACACCTCGACATCATTTTGTGTTGCTAGGACTTACAGTAGGCTGCATTCATTATGTATACTGCAGAGCAGAGGAAATTTGGGGGAGGGGGGGACACTAAAATGGTGTGAACTTTTGGCTGAAACATTTGCATGACGGATTAGTTTGGAGAACATATCAAATAGAAATTTCCCACTAAAATTAGCAAATGAATTAGGAAACTAGCTGATTTACTTGTTATTTTTCATTTTAGAAGATTGATTTGTTTAAAAAACATGTACTTTCCTCTAAAAAATGGGGCATTGCCACCCCCTGCCCCTACCCTAAATAACACATCATAACGGAGGGCCGCGTATCAAATGGTAAAGTCCGAGACTCGCTGAGCCTGTGTGTCTCTCGTTTTAAAACTGAGCCCCAGCTATAATTTCGATATTTTGGCAATACACCTTTTTCCCGTTCAAAACGAACCGCTGATTTAGTTGACAACAGTCTCTCATGCACAGAGACCTGACCAAAAACAAAAGAAAGCACGAAAAAATGCTGTCATTACAATAGTGCTAAGCCTGTATTCACAGAAGGTTCAACGTCTTGCTCAGGCTTAGCCTCAAAACGGAGAAGATTCAAATTTCTAGAGCTATTGTTATGTCAACTATGTCAGCTATCTCAACATTTTTTTGTGCTTTCTTTTGTTCTCTACGTAAGTGAGTCTGTTGTCTACTGAAACAGCGGTTGCTCGCATTGAACTAGAAAAAGACTTATTAAGAGCTTCTGAGGCAAAAGCAATATCAAATCTGAGCCCTTTTCTTTAAGCGCTGAGCTTGTGAGACTTTGGAAATTTTTGGTGAGCCTCACAATTTCTTAGACACCATTTTATACTCCTTAAAGGGTGCGGTTCTTTGCCAAGACATTGTTCCTTTTTCTTTCAGCAGCTGAAACAGAATTAGAAACATCTGCTTCTAAGAAGATTGCTTTGTTTGATCATGGTTTAAGAAATTAAAAAACTTTCTTTATGCTCTTCTAAAGTACTTGTACTTATTGCTTGGTAATTGTCAGTGTCTGTGTTGAGTGAGTGATATGGTAGTTTTGATTGTACAGAATGGGGAATTTCAAGCCTGTGAAACAGATATTACTTTCGCATACATAACCTAAAGATATATACATGTAATACCACTTAGGTATTGATTATATTGTCTTCTTTCATGTTGATATCATTTATTGCTAAAACTTTCTACTCTGGACCAATATTTCACAGGCTGAATGCACGTCATTCTGTTTGTTTTCAGTGTGAAGAATGTGTCTGTATGAGAACAAAACACAGGGAGGGGTAACCTGTAAAGTGGTCTCCTCCTGTTTTCTCAAGTATGTAGGCTCAAGGAAAGGGTGGCAAAAGGTTGTAACATGCAAAGACAAAACTCTCGTGCAGATTTTCTGAATATTATGCATCTAAGTAATGTATCTCTTCTTAGTAAATTTCCTTTCTTGGTGTTTTGAATTTGTTGTTATAAAATAAGAGAATCCGACTATTTGCCACCCTGGCCTACAGGAGATCCTTTCAATGATGATCCTATGGATGACCACAACAGGGCCTATCATTAACAAAATGGTCACTCAACCTCTTAATAAACAAGGGAAACTGGGGGTGTGATGGTTTAATGACATCAAAGGGAATCCGACAGGGCTTTCATAGTTGATTCTGGCAATATTATGTGAATTTTAATGAATTTATTGAGCTTGGGATGTTTTGAACACTCTGTTTGAGAATGCTTACTTTAAAAG